GATGACTGATTGGATTAGATTGGTTTATTTAGGTTATGACAAAGCACAAAAGGGCTATCTGTTAAAGGAAATGGATGCTTTTGTGAAGAACTTTCTAAGAAAAATAATTGGCTAGAATTCATATTATACATGGGAGAAATTTGAAAACTCCCAAGCCACCAGCCTGTTTGTTGGAAGATAATGCTGAACAAGAAAAACCACTGAAAAGTCTTATTCACATCATGGGTTCAATTCTTGGGAACAAAACTATTTAGATACATTAATTTTTGTTCTAGCACAAAGCTGGTTTTCAAAAAAAGGGAAAGTTTTCAAGTATTTCTCTAGTGAAAGTTGAGACCTTGAAATCAAACTGAATATCAGTTTTCAACTTTTGGCACGAGACATGCAGTGAGGAAAAATTTATTTTTATTATTTATTTTTATTAAATTTATTTATTTTTATTAAAAAGAGTGCTCAAAAAAGGTGTCTGCAGAATTATTTTTACAAATATTGAGTCAATATTTCCACTTATTGTCTAAACAGTAAAAAAATATTATGAAAACAACTTCTACAACAGGACTCTGTAAGTATGAAAACCTAATACTTCATATAATCTCCAATGAGTAGAATACTCAATTAAATGTTCAATATATTTTAGTTAATTAAATAAAAAGTTCTATACCTTTGCTACATATTTCATAAAATTAAAATTCTTTATGACTTATTCACTTAGTAGATTACAGTACTTATTTGGAATGCACAGCATAAAGATTTCTTTAGGTTTTGAAAAGACCCCTTCATATTTTTTAAATGCTGCAAAGAAAATTTTTAAAAAATGTGTGAAATCAACTATTTTCAAGAAATTGTCATACAGACTGTAACATCATAACCGGGAGCTGGCATTCTGAGAAAAAACACATGAACATGTTTTTCTCAAAATTCTAAATATTTTAGTTCATATTATGCAATAAAATACAATAGCCCCTTGCTGTTCTTACTTTCTGAAATGTAGGCATTTCAAAAAGATTATACCAATGGCCACATTTCCTAATCTACTTGTCTCAGGATATAAATACGTTAGTATTACTGCATCAGATAATAATAATGCTTTCTCCCGTACAAGTTTTTATTTAAAAAAAAAAGCATATTTTGTACATGGGAATAAATGTAGTCATTTTCTATGACTTTAAGTTAAATACAACTGTGTGAGTATAAGTTGTATAAGTTAAATACATTTACATAAATAATAAGGCTGTAATTTATGATAATAATTTTGAAAATATTATTCATCACATAGTGAATTGCATTAGATGTACATAATTACTACAAAAACTTATTTTATGCTATTCCTCATTTAGTATATAAATGCTAATGGCATAAAAAATGCATGCACGTAATGATTTGGATTATTTCATGCAATATTTATTTTAAATTACTTATGGAAAATTTAAGGTTTCAAAAATAGTTAAGTTACCTGATTTTGATTTAAAACAAAATTCTTAGAATATGTGTAGAAGTTAATTTAAAATTTGTGTAAAGGGTCTGGCTAGAGGCTGAATTTTACTAAGGAAAAACCTGGAGAAACTTTAACCTTTTAGAAAATTTTCATGACCATAATTTATAAAAAAGAAGTAAAGAGTTTACATTTTATTTATAAAACTTACAATTCTCTCTGAGAACATTTGTCATCGTAATTTTCATTAATTTAAAATACTAAATGTTGATTTGAGTTTAACATTTAACATACTAATTCAGAAGTCAAACAACAAAAATCAGCATTATATTTCTTCTGTGTTTCCTTTTTTTTTTTTTTTTTCCTGCTGCTCAACATTGTTGGTCCGAAAATCACACGTTCAATTTTTCTGCTGCCAAAATTATTCAAAAAGCATCCTCCATTGGAGAACTGGATTTTCTAGAGGCATTTCACATTCAAAAAAATCTTTCTGTTCTAGTCAACGATCCTAATTCCAATCCATCTTTGCCTTCGGCCTTTAAAGAAATTATGTTTTAGTTCTGGTTTCACCAACAAATGGCACCACTTGCTAACTCTCGTCCAGGCTTTCTTATCTTATATAATCATTATTTCCTATCTTGTTCATTTGCAGTTTTGCACCTGTGGATGGCGGTTTGATAAAACCATCGAAACTAACCCTGTGAAAATTTGGAAAATATAACGCTGATTTTTGTTGTTTGACTTCTGAATTAGTATTTGTTCGCCATGTTATTGTGTCTTAATTTAACATGCTGTCAATTCATTTTAAAATGAAATTCTCTAAATATCCAAACTGTTGGAACTATCTTATCTAAACTGTAGGACCTAATCTAATTTCTTCTATGCTATACTATGAGTGGAAAACTTCTAAAGCTGGTAAAAATTTGCATGAAGATGAATTATTTGATTGAAAAAACAAAGAAAAATTTGTTGGATCTCTTCAGTTTTTAGAAAAAACTACAATGATTATTTAAACAATTGAATGTTGAATTTTCATTTTTTCTCTGGTATCTATGGCTGGTATCAGGCGCAAAGAACTTAAATATTTTCTTAAAATTAAATATATTAAATATGTATGAAATTAATGTGCATTACAAAATTTCACTAATAACTAATCTAATAACTGTGAGGAAAACATAAAATATAAGGCAGTTGAAATGAAATACGTAATAAAGCATGAAATACTTCGGATTTTTATAGAAAACTCTGAAAGGAGAAATTAGAATTTTGAATAAAAAGAAAAGGGATTTAAAATGGTGTATTATTATTATTATTTTATTTTTATTTTTTTATGTTATTAGCTATAGAAATAATTTAATTATCCATCAAAAACACTAATGTAGTCAACAATCACTCCAGGTGCATTATTGAACTTTGTCCTAAACTAATTAACTCCTTTTCGTATATGGGAAAACATCGGACACATGGGAATAATGCAAAAATATTTCCTGAACTACCGCTCACTGGTAGATCTAAAGAATTAATTACAAAGAATTCTGATGCCCCATCTCTTCATTTTTACACCACTTGTTATCTGCTTATTCCAACTTGTTACCAGAAATTTAGAAATTACTTTCAAAATAAGCCTAAGCATCATATTGTCACTAGAGCAGAATCACTAATGGCTTTCATTATTAACATGAAAGCACTCATGTCATGGAGGAATCAAAAATGACAATATGCAGCATATTTTGTATTTGAATTTTTTACAACTGATACTTGAGCAATATGCAGATCCTGATGTGATGCTGCCTATCTAGAACTTGAGAAAAATGAAGCTGAAACAAAGCTTCAGGGCTTGAAACAAATGACGCTTAAGACGCCCTTGTGTAGAACCACACAAAACTCTGCTTTTGTTTGTGGTGATAGTGATAAGGAGAGTGCCTTGCGCCCCCACGTGTATGGCCAATAAATACGGCAAACCTAGGTAGAAGTGCAGAGATAGAAGAGAGACCGGCTGTTCAAGGAGTGGCATACATATTTGAGGTCTTGAAATAAAGATAAATTTTTACTGTGTAACATGCCTGCTGAAAGTTTTTGATGAATACAGTGAGAACATTTAATGTAACATGGGCAAATAGAATCATGCCCGGGTCACCAATGTGGTAATATTTGTAAATCCTGCAGGATTCTAGTTGCTCATATTACATTAAATGTTCTCACTGTGTTCATCAAGAACTTTCAGCAGACATATTACACAGTAAAAATTTATCTTTATTTCAAGGCCTCAAATATGTATGCCACTCCTTGAACAGCCGGTCTCTCTTATCTCTCTGCACTTCTACCTAGGGTTGCCATATTTATCAACACACACGTGGGGTGCAAGGCGAGCGTGCTCCTTATCACTATCATCATGGCAACTTTAGGTAGAAGTGCAGAGAGAGAAGAGAGACTGGCTGTTCAAGGAGTGGCATACATATTTGAGGTCTTGAAATAAAGATAAATTTTTACTGTGTAATATGTCTGCTGAAGGTTCTTGATGAATACAGTGAGCTTGATGTTTAATGTAATATGGGCAACTAGAATCCTGTGGGATCTACAATGCCACATGCTTTTATACAAACATTACATATATACACTTTTATAGAAGTAAAAATCCCAGTCTGTTTTTATTTCTTTCTACCTATAAAATTCAAACATACAGCACTGCAGAACATCTGAAAGGCCTTTTAAGACTTTTTAGACTACAGCCCCTAAGCAACATTTTCCTATTTATGCCATTGCTTTCTACAAATCAAACACACAATCAAAAGAATGAAGAAAATATCTGTCTAACCTTAGAAAATTACCAAAATATTTATGCATAATGCATAAATTTTGACAGTGTTACCTTGTAAATGCATTCATCATAGGGTACCTAATATCTCACGTGTATCACAAATAGCCTCCAAGATCACCACAGCATTGTTTCACCACACAAGAAGGATATCTTTAATAATAAATGTAAAGCTAATTTTTTTAATCGGTAAGATGGTGAACTATGATAAAATTGAATCTGAATTTTATCCTGATCATGAACAATCAATAATAACTGCAAGAAAAACTTACAAATAAATTATTTTATCTAACAATAGCAAATGGTTTTGCTAAATGAAAAGAAAACAGCAGCAAATGTTTTCCTTACCATTTAACTTTGTCTTTTCTGGGAATATATCAAAAGATATTATATTCATGTTACTTTTGCTTACTTGATCTCAATTATGGCATTGTTGCTTTTGTAAAGAAAGTAATTGATAGACATTTAGCAGCAAGTATGGTAAGTATTTGATCATTATCTTGAAGATATTTGTATTACTAAAAGGAAGTCTACAACCTACCTAAGAAAATAACTGGATAGTTTTCCTTTCATGTATTTTTATTCCTTCTGTGTTCGCAAATTAAAAAAATAAAGCCATGTGAAATTAAATCAATAAATTTGCATAACTCTGCATTTCAGTATAGTATTTATTAAATACTTTTGAAAATAAGAAAGGGCCTTTTTTAATTTGAAATATTCTAATACATACATTTTAAAAACAAAAACACTTACTTTCTTCCCTTCAGCCAACGGCGAAACTTGTAAGAATGTGTCCTCATGCTACGACCTAAGAAATTTGTTTAAAAATTAAATTCATTTTCAATCACACTGTAAATTCCAATATTTACAAGAATAATTACTGTATTTATCAGAATATAAAATTTTTCTCCTTAAAATGCACACCTAAAAATTATATCCTATATGCATATCTTCATATATATATATATATATGTGTGTGTGTGTGTGTATATATAAACTGAAAATAATTTATCATTTATTCCATAACTTTTATATTAAAAATAACATATTTGTAGAATTATTTTGCCTCAAAATACTGCAGTTTGACTATTCAATTAGTTTACTTGTAGAACAACTTCAACCACCAAACTAAAACAGTATGCGATGCAAGCTACCTTTTTTAACTTGAAACATTTCAGAAAGGCAGAAGAAACTTAAATTTGAAATTATCTTATGCTCAGGCCCATGTACCAGTTAAAAGTAAGCATCTGATAATAATTTTACAAATTTTTGATAATGTTACACGTTTCATTACAACTTTACATTTCAGAATCTATAAAGCTATAATTTAATATAACTTTATAGATTCTGAATACTGATGAAATTTGTAAGTTTCTATTACAGTAATAATAATGAAATTGATACAATCCTTAAAATATACTTGCAGGTGACCTAAATTGTGAAAAAGGAAAACAATTTAAATTTTCAAAGATAATGACACTTTTTGAGATTTCAAATACACATTTGCCAACATAGAGAACATACATTATACAGATTTAATACAGAAAAGACTCATGATTAAAAAAAATTCCAATGAGAAAATAAGGTATTTTTCATTCCATTTCTCTACATTTGATATACATACAATGACCAGGATTTCCAGATCTAAACTTCCCGATACCAAACGTAAAATCAGAAAAAAGAAACTTTGTAATTAATTCCAAGAAGGAGGGCAGCAGATGAATAGATATGCCTAATACACTATACTATAAGACAAGTTCTTAAGCTTTCCCAAATTACATTTAATATTACATTATTATAAAAATAAAAGAAAACATACTGGCACAAGAACAATTTCTCACCAAAGTGATTCAATTTTTATTAACTTTCTTGGCCCCATAAAATTCAAGATTTTAAAGCAATACAAAATTTACTCAAGAAATGAATTGCTCTTTAAAAAATTACTCATATAGCAAAAGTCTCGGTTTTCTTTGGAATTCTGATTCAGAAACCATCTTTTATAAACTTTGTTCTATTAATAAATACTTATTTGATTATTTAAATAGCATTCATACTCATTTCTTTAAATGTAATTTAAGTATTTTTAAGGGCTATCAATGAAAAAAATAAAGAACCTATCATCAAAAAGAAGTGAACAAATTAAAATAGTCATCTATACAACTACTTTCATTTTTGCAATAATACTTAAGCATAAAACAGAAGAATGTAGAAAGCATTATCATCAAACAAATTCTAATATTCAACATAAATCAATATAGCATGCATTATTATTAAACATTTATATTTAACATAAAGCAAATTTAATAAAAGGCCAGTTTAATAAAATTTAGAGTAAAAAGTGTTCTCTAAAAATTTTCAAGTATTTAAATTATGAATGTAATTTCTTGACATACTTATAGTTCACATTTATTATAGTCACATAGATTTTAAAGCAGTTTACAATTTTACAAAATCACTATTAGTCAATATTAAAATCTTTTATTTTAAAAAATAACTCATTCAAAATCAGAACAATTAATTTACCCCTGAGAGAGACCACAGAGGATTTTTCTAACCATCGTTTCCACCCCTAAAAATGAAAAATGGTTCCTGTCCTTCCTCCTACCTTCCAGAACCAATCCCACAAGGTCATATATCCAGTTTTACACTTCTAACTTTATTATGGTTTCATTTCAGTTAACCCTTTTTTTTTTTACTTTTAAAGTTGTCAGCTTTCTGCAGATGAACAGTTGAATACAATAATTTTTCTGGAAAAAATCACTTCAAATGCTGCAAAAAGAACCAAATTGGATGGTATAAACACCATAATTATTCAGCTCCCTCGTCTGAAACATCCTGCAAAAATAGGCTCTAGAGTGCAGCCCGAAGATACCTGGAATTTACTTTTTTATGAGGGAGTAATAAACTTAGTTGTGAAATGGACTAATGGTAAAAATCAACGAGTGCAGAATGAGATATTCTGATCCAAATAGGTATGAATTTATGGATACTAATGCATTAGAAATCAAAGCCTTCCTTGCACTTTTAATTTATTCTGCCAAATTCAAATCAAATCATGAAAATGTTGATTGTTTATTTGCTACTGATCGTACAGTATGAGAGGTATTTAGATGTGTTACTTCCTAAGTGAGATTTTTATTTTTGCTGAATTGCTTGCAGTTTGATATCTCTAAAACAAGAAATGACAGTATGGAAACCAACAAAGCAGCTCTAATATCGGAAAACTTTTATGCAATCATAAGAAATTTCCAACACCTGTATTCTATTGGAGAATTAGCATGTGTTGACGAGATGCTAGTGAAATTAAAAGAATGCAGCAAATATAAAATGTACATGCCCAGAAAAATATGGATTTAATATTATGTGAATTTGTGATGCAAGGAAAAATTATCTTTATAATGCATACTATATTTACTGTGGAAAAGATTTTGATAGAGATGGGCTTACTGAAGAAGAAAAAAAATGTAGTAAACCCACACAAGCAGTGCTCCGAATGACTGAACCTTTGAAACATACAAATAGAAACATTACTGAAGACAATTGGTTTTCCTCAATGGAATTAGTGAATTGCCTAAAAGACAGAGATCTTACATTTGTAGGTACATTAAAAAAGAATAAAAAGGAGATCCCAAAAGAATTTCAAGCGAATAAGGCAAGAGAAATATTTAGTTCTTTGCATGGATTTACAAATGAAATTATGCTTGTTTCTTATGTTCCCAAGAAAAGAAAAGCAGTAATTTTGATTTTATTGATGCACCATATTTGTGAAAATGGTGGTAATACTAGGAAACCAGAAATTATTGAATTATACAATTTGACAAAAGGAGGTGTTGATTAATTTAACAAGAAGTGCTCTATTTAATCAAACAATCGACAAAGTCAATGTTGGCCGTATCCTGATGCTACAAAACTGGAAAAAAAAAAAAAAAAAAAAAATTGTGATTTTATTAGCAAATCAACTAATTAAACCGTATTTGAAAGTTAGGATAACTTCCGCTTTTTTGGCAAGGGAACTGAAGACAACAATTAGAAGAATCTTTGGACAGAATGAAATTAAGGGAATGGATTTATCAAATTAAGAAGAAAAATTAGAAAAAAGAAAAACATGTAGTCTGTACCCAACTTGTAAGAAGAGAAAAACAGCATAAAATGCTTGGAATGTAAGGAAACAATATGTCTTCAGTGCTCTTAAAAAAATGTGTTTTGAATGTGTATCATCTTATGATTCATCTTTGTAAACAAAGGTATACTAATCTATTAATAATTTATAATTAAATTCACAGTTGTAGAATTATGGTTTAATTGACAGTAATACTTAATTAAATAATATATTTTCATGCATGTTTAATAATATCTTTATTCTTTAACAGCTTTGTTCCTTAAGAAAATAGTTATTTTTTATATGAATTAAACTGCGTAAAATTAAATGATTTATGTTTAAAATATATTGATTTAATGAATTAGAATTTCATAAATATGCATAAAGTATCTATAACATTCCTTAAAAATGCATAAAAGTATATATTTTTATGTGTTTCTTAAAAGCGGTCCATGAGCCTGTTCACAGTAATTATGCTGGAAAAAACTGTTACAGCAGTTAAAGGTTAAAGAATATTGCAGGAAACAGATAATTGCACATATAATTTATTACATTGGTTGAAAAAAATATTAAAATAATTATGTATTATAAGACACAAAATATCCATAACACTACAAAATACTGCTTTAATAAATAAATAAATATTCCCATTATGTTCTATTTTCTGCATCATCTTCTAAAGCTCTAATTTTGTTAATATCTTTAATAAAATTTCCTTCTGCTTTATGTTATAAATTTCTTCCTAACTAACATTTCTCTTCATACTTGAATCTTCAGATTTAGTTACAAATTTTGTTGTTTTAATAAACTGCATGTATTTAAAACAAGTTGCTAACCTGATTTCTTTAGCAAAAAAACTCCAGAAAACTTCATGAAATGATATAAGTGTTCAAGTATGCAATGAATCTTATAAAACATTAGGTTTTAGCATCATTATTAACAGAGGAACTACTTTTTACAGATGCTTGTCCATCTGACAAGAAAAGAATTCCTTTTGTAATTTTCCATACTTCTGAATAGTGAATACCACAAAAATAAAAGAAGAGAAAATAAAGAAAAATATACCAAGAGAAAGACATTTGGGGACAAAAAGTGAATAGGCACTTCCTTATTTTTTATGACCTTGTGGTTTAAATGGCTTCAAGAGCTTTCTTGTTAATCAACTGCATCAAAGTGGCAGCCCTAATCAAAACTCTTAACAAACCAGCAGAAGACAGACTTAACCACACTCACTCACACTAACCTTGACACCAGAAGAGCTCTGATTATAATTATCATACTTTTCTTGTAAAATATGTTTGCTCTGTGAATATGTTTGCTACTGAATTACATTACTATAAATATGTATACTACCATTAATATACTTTTCATTTTATCATGAGCTCTTATCTAAGCTGATTAAAATAACTGCCAACTTTGAGAGAATAAGATTTTTATTTTTTTTAAGTAAGATTTTTGAAAAAATCAGAATGCAGAGTGAAATGAATTTTACAGAGAAAGCTAACACATATCTGAAAATTTTTAAAGAAAAAAACATAGAGAAAAACATTTAGCATAAAAAAATCAGATATTACAAATTAGTTTTAACATAATTACATTAGCATTTTTGGTTTTATTAATTCAGAAATTCTACATTATAACACATATTATCTTGTTTAGATTCCAGAATCAAGATATTTGACATTCACCATAACTTTTGAAACATCACTGATGGAAATAATAATAGCTTATTGAAATGATACTTTTCTCGATAATTTTTAATGTCCTGTTATTCTTTTAACGGCATTCTAATAATATTATCAAACTTGTTAAAAAAACATTCACAAAACAAAATTTTTGTAGACAAAGTGAATTTAAAATTGTCAAAATGCTGATAAGTAATCCAACTTAGTAATGCACAAGAAAAGATTTCATCATGCAGAAAAGGAAATGGGCTGTTTATGGTGCAATAAAGAGAACAAATTAAGATTATTTATGAAAAATATTAAGCTGCTTTCATAAAAATTTTAAAAAATTAATGGAAGTTAGAAATTATGCACGTAGGTATAAATCTTGAAAGAATCTATAGTCCTCTTTCCTGCCCCCCCCAAATGTCTTAACTGTCAATCACCATTACTGACAAAATTGATCTTTTCTGATTATACACACCCCCACAGAAATTGGAGAAAAGTATTCATTCAGACAAAAACGCATGCTGCCGAAATAGTTATCTGGCAAGTCCCAATTATTTTATTACAAATTATAATATGGCAACCCAGATATGTATGCAGTACTTGTCTGTTTCGGCAAATGCACACTGCTGAAGTTGCATAATGCCAAGTTTAAACAGTTCTCTGATTTTTTTTTTTTAACTAAAAATAAGTCACTACGCACATGAGGAGAACAACAGCACAAAAGAGAAGAATTTCTCAAAAAAAGGTGTTTTATTACCAATGTTTCCTGCATTTTAAATTTACTGACTGACTGACTGCTCTTGTAGGGAATTCTTAGAGTGGTGACATTCTGAAAATGGCTGATGCCTTTCATGCATTAGCCTGATGAAAAATTAGTCACCAATGAATTCGCAAACTTGATTATGATCTTTATGGTAGAGGTGCAGATAGTCAGAAAGTACCAAAAAAATTATTATTATTATTTAAATTTGACCAGTTATTTCAAAGAAATGTTCTAGATCTTACCAATATATTGTCCTTGAAGCCTACCTTTATGATCCATCTAGTCTTTCAGAAAAGGCAAAAAATAAAATTCAAATTAACTCTATACAATTAAGACACAATAACACACTGAACAAATACTAATTCAGAAGTCAAACAACAAAAATCAGTGTTATATTTTTAAATTCTCACAGGACTAGTTTCGATGGTTTTACCGAACCAACATCCTCAGCTGCAAAACCGCAAATGAACGAGATAGGATATAATGATCAGATAAGATAAAGCATAGACAGAAAATAAGTTAGTGGTGCCATCTGTTGATGAAACCAGAACTAAAACATAATTTCTTTAAAGGCCAGAGGCAACGATGGATTGGAATTAGATCGTTAACTAGAACAGAAAGATTTTTTTGAATGTCTTTTTGCCTCTAAAAAATCCAGTTCTCCAATGAAAGATATTTTTTGAAGAATTTTGGCAGCAGAAAAATTGAAAGTGTGATTTTTGGACCAACAATGTTGGGCAACAGAAAACTTCTGTGTTTCCTTTTTTCTAACATATGCCTCATGTTCCTTGACATGAAATTTTAAGGCTCTCTTAGTTTGGCCAACGTAAATAAAACCACACTGGCACGGAATCCTATAAATACACCAGGAATTCATATCCGGAATGGGGTCCTTGAGTATGGAACTCAGAATTTTATTGATGGGAGAATAAACGACCCAAAAGTTAAATTTCTGCAAAATATGTGCAACTTTATAGCTAATTGATGGAAAGAAGGGAATGAGAACAGAATTTTTATAATCTCCTAAAACAAGAGTGTGCCTTTTAGTGTGTTGAGATGAGAATTTTTTAACTGCTTCATTAATAATGTTGGGTGAAAACAATAATGTTGGAGAACTGGATTTTCTAGAGGCATTTCACATTAAAAACAAAATCTTTCTATTCTAGTTAATGATCCTAATTCCAATCCATCTTTACCTTTGGCCTTTAAAGAAATTGTGTTTTAGTTCTGGTTTCATCAACAGATGTCGTCACTAGCTTATTTTATGTTCAGGCTTTCTTAACTTATCTGATCATTATATCCTATCTCGTTCATTTGCACTTTGACGATGGTGTTTCGGTAAAACCATCGAAACTAGTCCTGTGAAAATTTGAAAATATAACGCTGATCTTTGTTGTTTGATTCTGAATTAGTAACTCTATATACTTGCTATAGCTCAACATCTCAGAATTTGGAATTACACACAGCAATCATCTACCACTTTTTCTCTTAAGACTGATATTTTATGAAAGTTTATCATCTGTTATCCTATTAAATTTATTATCTGTTATCATACTTTTGAATTTTCCAATCTAGTCCTAGTAACAAAAGTGGGATTTAAAGCACTATGATTGCAATGCATCTCATCAGCTCACATCCAAACATAGAACAGCTATGCAAGAATATTCTCCTCCATCTCATCAATGTGAGAACCAACATTTATTTAATTTCTAGTTAATAAGATAAAGACTATCCCAACTCTAATAGTTTTGAATTATTAAAAAATAATATGAATTTTCTTCTTTTAATGTATATACTTTAATTTAATGAATTTTAATTAACTGCATTTAAAAGATAAATATCATGATAGTAATATATATTAAAAAAATGTTTTCAAAAGGGGCATAAGTAAAGTGGTCTGCAGAATATTTTAATTTAAAAAACTGCCCTCTACTTTAAAAAAAAGTTTGAGCAACACTGCTGTGATACAAAAGCATGCCTCACCCAGATTTAGAATGCTCTAAAACAAGTAGACATTTTCAGAGCATCCACCTCTTTTTTGAGTGCCTAGTCATGTCTCTTGTCCATATCTTGGGAGAACTTCGGATTTGCTGTTAACAGTGGGTGGAAGAATGACCTTAATGAAGTCTGACTTTCAATTCTCTTGAAGGTCACATTTTTATCATAGTAGGTCAAAATATGACTGTAAGTCTAAAAAGTTTTTTTTTTTTTTTTTTTCAATGCAGGCAGACAATATTCTTATTGATAACATCTATGATGAAAGATCTGGGTGAACAATAAAATAGGAATTCCAAATCTAGTTTTTGGGTGGTTGATTGCTCTTTAGTTATAATGTCAATTTGTCATGGCTCCATTACAAGCCATAGGGTTTAATTTTGATACTCATGCAAAATGTTAACTCACATCAGCCAGCCACAGAAAAAGGACAGAAATGTCAGATAAGGACTGTTTGCACATTTTGGTCAAATTGAAGAACATTTAAGAACCAAAAACAGTGTCTTAAAAAAAAAAAAAAAAAAAAAAAAAAAAAAAAAAAAAACTAACATTTTTTAAAGATTGTACGTATTAACCCTAATAATTTAATAGTTTTGTTATGAATATTTCAAAAGAATTCAGTCAATATTTAAATGAATTCAAATAACAGTTAACAGACAGAGATCTCATCTCCCCCCCCCTAAAATCAAGATTACCATTGTTGATATATTATATTTATACATTTATACTTTTGTTTTGTCAGCTAATATAAGGTATAGCTAATATAAGGTTAATACATTTGATGTTAAAGCACAAGAAATTTGGAAGACAAATTTTTGATCAAAAACTAATTTTTGATCTCCTTCTACTGTCATATTAATTTGAAAGATTTGTTTCCATATATACTAATTTGTAACTTACAGGTTTTACAAAAGTCAATTAAGCTGCATACTAAATTATTTTTAAATAATTGAAAAGTTTACCACATTATGTAATTAATAATGATATTAAAATACTTACTGATGGAGAAATTGGTCTCTACAAACATTTCCGGTTCATTGACATCACCAAGTAAAATTTGATACTAAAGTGATACAAAATATGAATATAAAAACAATTAACTGCATGGAAGTTAAAGTGGTCACTTGCAGTAAGTAATAACAGTTTTTTAAAATGCATCCAAAGAAAGAAATAATTTTTACAAAGCATATAAAACAGTTAAAAAATACAGTTGAAAATGTTAATAATAAAAATATATTTTATGTATAAAATATGTCAATAAATTTGGATTGCAAATTTTGCATTGCTATAAAAAAAAGTATTCTTCTGTTATCCGGACTTGAATTAGAAATGTTTGCATGTATGCATGCATGAATGGATGTATGTGTTAAAGTAGGCATGTATATATGTACATACATACATGCATACAAACATCCTGATAACAGAAGAAAATTTGGAAAATTTTGCTTTAACTACAACTATATTTTTGAAAGTACAAATTACTGTCTGCTACTTAACAGATTTGTTTTCATGAAAAATGGCACTTGGATGGAAGGCTATATTTCTGCTCTTTCCGAAGAAAACTATTCATATCTAGTTATTGCCATGCTTTGTCAATACCTAAAGCTATGATAGGTAATATTGTGAACAAGAAAGGAGAAAAGAGTCAAGGTTTGGCTTCAAGTGGAAAAATTGTTCCAAATACTTATCAAAGGAAAAAGAGAATATTTCGAATGTTGCAAAGATAAAATCTTCAATGTTAAAAGAAAATATGCCAAGTGAAAGGACAGTTGCAAAATCATTAAAATGCTCCATGTCAACTCACTTTTTTTAGTGACTAAAACTGATTTGAATCTTAACAGGAAAAAAATTTAAAAAAAAAAAAAAATAATGTGCATTGTCTTTCCCCATGACATATTGTCGAATGCAGAACATGCTGTAGAATTCTTTATGAGAAGTATCCAGACAAAAATGGAAAAATGTTGTCACAATAGATGAATATTGGATACATTTAAATGACTGAGATAAAAAGAGATCCATTTATTATCATCAAAGAGGAGTATACAATCTTAAAACATGGTTCAAAGAATCTAAAATTTTTCAAAGGGATTTATGATTGCTGCTGGTTTTTCATATAATGGCAAATTAAAAATAAAGAAAATGGAGAAAAATGTTACAATCAACTCTATATATTATCAGAAACATATTTTATACCCAATTTTGAATTGAAATACATTCTCTTTATACATAGTGCCATCAATCAGTAGAACTGCAACAAGACTAAGCAAGCAGCCACAAGTCAAAATATACTGTTAATTTCCTGGGGGGGGAGAGGGAACAAGAAATGGGTACCTAAGCCATATCCTTCACTCATATCCCTACAAAATCTCCTGATATATCTCCCATGGATTTTTGGACTTTTAAAAAGCAGATTATCTAAACATAATGAAATGACCTACAACCTTCTTTTGACTTTGTAAAGTTGCTCAAGACAAATGGGATAAAGTACTTCTTCCGATACTATAAAAGGCTTTATTGTCTTGGAAATTACGGTGGAGAAAGTGAAGAATAAGGGTTATTAAACGAACATTTAAAGCACAAAAATTTTTTGTAAAATATTTGTTTAAATACAATGAAAATTGTCTAAAATGTGTGCAAAGAGCCTTTGTTAGGTTATTAGGTTATTCAATTATAGCAAAGCCTCGAGGGCTATCTGCCTAAGGGGAAGGGATGCCTTCGTGGAGGACTTTCTAAGGGAAACTGGCTCGTATACACGTTACACATAGGGAAAACCACGAAAACACCCTTGCAGCCAGCCCGTTTCCGGGATTTGAACCTCGGACCGAACTACCAGTGTTCAGCGACTTTACTCGGCCGCTGGCAGGCGAACAGCCTTTGTATCTCAGTCTACAAAGAATAATATTTAAAATGAATTCACTACAAAAATCTTTCTTAAAAATAGCCTTAGGAAAAATATGTATTTATTTAAATTTATCCATGTGTATTCTTATAAATATTTACTAAATATGAAAATAATGATCCTTGCCATATATATTTCAATTCTTAGCATTCTGATGACTTGCTGTTTGGTGAATAATTGACTTAAATATTCTTAATGAGTACTTAGAAACCCTAAATCTACCATAGTTCTAAAAGATTTTAGAACTAGTTTTATACATTTGGTGCACGTGAAGAAAGACAAAGATAATTTATTAACATTTCACTGAATTTAAAAAATACACAAACAAATATTTAGAATTATTCTCTGTACTATTTATATTTATAGTATACAGTACAAAGTCTGTAATCCGGACGTCCATTATCCGGAATGATCTATAATCCTGACCTCAAAGCCACAAAGTTTTTTTTTTTTTTTTTTTTTTTTTTTTTGTATGCTTTACGCATGTGCGTAATGCGTTTACGCATGCATGTTTAGCACAAAAAACAAAGCAACTTAAACAACTTACATTGAAAAAAATGTTTAATACAGTAAACAAATAAACATTACGCCTTTTTTTTTTTTTTTTTTTGTAAATTTTGATACCCTTTAGATCATAATTACTCTTTATTTCATAAATTATGGTTTCATGTTTTTAATTGTATAATTTCTGCATGCCATCTTACCAGATTTAAATTGATTATCTATAATCCGGAAAACCCCCTAATCCGGAATCGTCGAAGTCCCGACGAATCTGGATTAAAGACTTTGTACTGTATAATGCATTACCACCATTTCTAACTTATTAATATTTAACAAAAGTGTTAATAAAAAAACTTCTATTTATTTTTTATTATAGTTTCTTTGATAAAGCAATGTTCATTACTGATATTTATGGTACAAAACTGAAAAGAGCAGCCAATAATTATTATTTCTTAATAGCAAAGTTAACAATCAAACTAATTCTATGTATATAATTTTTGGTCTGCAACCCAGTGAGGTTATTAAACACCATCTAAGAACTATACCATAAGAAAGTATGAGAAATACAGTCTTTAAGAATAAAGATTATTTAAACTCTGCGATTATATTGACAAATTATCAATAGGCTAAAAAATTCCTGTACTCCCATTTGAGAGTTTCTGATCTTTCACATAACTTTAGTCTCCAGAATGACAAATAAGTAGCAGATGTTTGAGCTTAAATCAAACATCTGCTACTCATTACCGTGTGAATCAGAAACACAACCATTTTGAACTACATATTATATTTAAAAGCATACACTTATTTACATGAAATAATAAATGAAAAAGAGCATTTTTATAAATGTAAATCAGACTAAACTTTTACAATTATTTCAGGTTTTACATATGACACAGCAATTTACTTTTTTTTTGCATATTTTGAATCATGGTTTAATTATCCACATTTATATTAGCTGATAGAATATAATTACAGTTACGCCAGATATATACATAATATATACCAATAAGTAAGTATTATGCATATATCCGACAACAGTACAAAGAAATCATATAAATAAACATATTTAAAAGAAAAGTTCTCAGGAAAAATCTGACTTATTGATATTTTACATGATGATTATTTGGCACATAATTTAAAATCTTACACTTTAAGAAACTTGTCCCAAATCAGACTTTTAAATATAGTCTGGACATTCATTGGGCAATTTTTATTTTTTTTTTAACACTATGTGATCTTGGCATTTCTTAAATATTACAGATATTACCAAAACATGAAATTTACAATTAAATATTTTTAGAGAACTTTTGTTATCCAGCAATATGAAAATAAATACATGTTCATACTTAATAAAGAATGCTAATATAATTACAGTCTCATATTTTTACAGTTCAATTTACAGAATAATTATTTTTTTAAAATAAACTGAAAAATTAAATGTGAGTTTAACTGAGAAGTCATGTAGAAAATACATAAATATCAACTGTATTAATATATATGGAAAACACATATATATTAATATATATGGAAACACAAATTACCTCATCAGATGGTTTCTCGTCATTAAAAAACTCTTTTGCATAACCTAATTGTTCTTCCATCATCTTTTTCTGATCTCTTTCAATATTCAGAGCAAGTGCTAAAGCTTCGTTTGATCTCCGTAATTCTTGACATAACTTTTCTGTTTCAATTAATCTATACAAAAATTCAATGTAGATTATTAAAACTTTCAAATTTTAGGTAAAATCTAAAATGTTTAAAATTTCAAATTATAAACATGAATTATAACATATTCTCATTATTAAGCTAAAAGAATGGTTTCTAATCATTTATGGCAGCCGTTAGAAGCCCTTCAGCTGTAACTTTCTTATGGTATTGTGCATTTAATGCCATGTATCAATCTTTTGTCAGTGTCATGGGTCTTGACTTGATCCTCAGGTGATGGTATCAATAATTTGGAATTAGTGTCTTAACCTAGATAACATTACTCAAGACAGTTATAACAATTCAAGGACCTCCACCTCAATGTGATCAGCTTCAAGCCCACCAATAGCTCTCCATCCGAATCCATCATCTAATTGATTATGAGAACTTATTTTAACTGAAATCAGCCAGCCTTGTGATTTTTCTTGTGAGAAACACATTTTAATACATGAATTTCATAGATTCAGAATCTGAGCACTTTCATGCTTTCTATAAAAATGAATTTTTTAAAAATTTGTAATATATTTTGAACCATTACAAAAATGTGCAACTTTAATTTTGGATACTAGCATATTTACAATAGTTACCTGAAATAATTTTCTTCTACATTTTTGTATATCAATCTATGGACTGAAAGATCAGTCACAAATTTGAAGCTAAACAATGCAATCATACTTTTAGGCAGCGCAAGTTGTTGTTGAAAAACATACTTCTTACGTAAAAATGCATCATGTATCTGAAACAAAAGATGAAGCCCCATATTTCACAGACATTCTCAGGAGGAACACTACTTTTCTATGCCCTTACCCTATATACCCCGAACTTCAGGCAGTAGAGTTGGAAGGGTGATGAATGATAAGCACACTCAGTTTTAACTGGAAGGGTGATGAATGATATGTACACTCAGTTTTAACTGGAAGGGTGATGAATGATAAGCACACTCAGTCTTAACTATCTTGACATGAAAATCTTCACTTATTGTCTAAATTAACTCGCAAACTTAAAAATTTTGCTAAAAACTATACAATAATGATGACTGTGATATTAAGCAAAACAAATGATAGGAATGAAAATAGCTGAATGTTCTCCCTGCTGAATAACAAATGAAAATCTTGAAACATTTTGGGAAAAAATCCTCTGGTGAAATGGAACAAATTTGAAACCAAATCTGACACTTTATGACCACTTCTTCAAATCATAAATCAATCATAATCAAAATTTTTGCCATGCTACAGAGCGAAATAGTGATAGGTGTAACTGCTGTAAGTGGTAGTGGTGATAGGTAGCTGATAGGAGTGGGAGTGGTGAATTTTTAATAGCAATATAATTTGAAAAGCCATGACAGTGGAATAATGTTAAATAGAAAAGTGTAGAATTTTGTAAACTAATCTACTAGCAGCCAAAAGGGAAATGGAAGTGAAATAATTCCATTACTGATGATCAGTCATTCATCCAAGTATTTTACAAAAGTAAAATAAGTTTTTATAGCATTAAACTTTAAAAAGAAATAAATAATAAATAAATTAATTAAAAAAATAAGTGAAATTTTTAGTGACGAGCTGAAAAGAATAAACAAATTCATGGGTTGGATGAGAAGGAAAATTCTTTTTCATTGATAATTGCAAGGCTGAATTGAATTTTCCTTCTCTCAGAAACTTAACTTTTTGCTTCTGGCTCTATCCTATATGAGATCAAAATTTCAAAAAGGTTCAGTTAGTTAATTTATTACAACAAAGCACATCATAGCTATCTATCTTAGGGGGACTGCCTCTATAAAGGTCATTTTTAAGGGAAACTAGCTTTTATTTATCTTAAATATAAGGAAAACCTTGACACCTAACACAACCAGCCCATTCACCAAGAGCCAAAGCTGGCATGAATTACCAGCGTTCACCTATTTTATCACCTCATATGAAAGTGAGATAGATAATAACTAGATTTCAAATGTACAGGCATTATTAATGGAAGCAATAGCCTTTCTAAATCTAATGTTTAGGATGAAATGAAGATCACAGACTTTTCTTCAACAAATGTTTATTGAGAAAAAGAGTAAGAACAGTTCCCTAAAAACAGCGTTTATACAAAGCAGCAATAAGGAAGAATACCAAATGGATGTTGACACTGTGTATGCAATATGAGACCATGAAGTAAATTCAGAAGCACGAATGTACATCAAAAATAGACTGCAGGATTTTTTTGCCTGTATTTATATTACATATGAAGTAATTTCACACAACTTTTATTCAAAATTATTTTGTTTCATGACTGATTCACTTGCCATTGGTGAGATCATTGTTTTATTGTAAAAAATTCAAATTAAAATACAGTAAATAAATAATTCATATTCAAAATAGCAAAACAAAACTTCCTTTGTCCACTATTTAGGCAAAATTGACTATGCTAAATTGTGACCCTCAGAGAACTTAAAAAAAAAATGTCCTTTTCTTTTAGTACTCAATTCTTTCACATTTTTATCAGCTAGCAATCTGAGATCAAAATTTTAAACTCAAGTTATCTTAAGATAAGGTGGAGAAACAAATTATGATTTAAAATCAGCAATACAAAATAATTCAGATGAAAATTGAAAATTAATTACTCTCACAATGTTCAACTAAGTTTGCCTCTTGCTTTATTGATGATCTGCATCTTGTAAATTTTTGTATGCAATACTGATTTGATTACTTTTATATTTGCATTGAATGTATATTCAAAAATGAGTACTTTTTAATAATTGTGCATTTAAAATTTTTTGCTGGCTATTGAGCATAACTTATTATTGTTTTCATGGAAAAAGTAGACGCACTTCAGGATATTTGTTGAAATTTAAGCAAAGATATTGATATTTAAATTGAAGATAAAAGCAGTTGAAGTTATACAACTTCAGAAACAACTTTTAAGCTTAACAATTTAAAACAATAACAAAAGCTAAAATTCACAAATTATATGTACAGAGTAAAAAAGAATGCCATTCATCTCCATAAATAACTGGTGAACAGAACCAACTGCAGCTATGAAAGTTATATCTAACTACAGTAAAAGAACCAGTTGTAACACCTATTACCAGCAAATTCAGAAAGCAATTCTATCTCAAAAACTAAAAGAGATGTAGGAAAATTTTATTTATCAAGCTGTAGAGCATTATCGAATTTAGTATGAAAAGACATGTTATGCATGTGGATACAATAAATATATAACTGTACAGCCTAAACTTTTCTTTGAAAGGACACAGGAATTTTATTTTTTAAGCAGATGTAACCACAGTTATGATGGTGCGGTTGAATGTTTCCACAATCACCAGACCAGTTGATTTCTTTTTCTGGACTCCTAGATCTAAACTGATGTATGCAGTAGCAGAACCCTTTTCATGTTAATGAATATGCATATAGACAGATATAATTTTTCAAATTGTAGCCAAGGTAGCCTCTTTGAATATGTTTCCACAATCACCAGACCAATGGATTTCTTTTTCTGGAGTTATACAAAAAGTGAAATAGATGTGATATCTCCTAGATCTAAACTGATGTATTACTGATGCATGCAGTAGCATAACTCTTTTCATGTTGATGAATATGTATGCAGACAGATATAATTTCTCAAATTGTAGCCAATGGTTAGCATCTTTAAATATGCTCACAAAATAATGCCAGTCAATTTCCATGTTTTGCTTCATTGGTTAGTTATGTTGTTTTGAATACCGCAAAATCATTAGGGATGTTAGACTAAGAAGAAGGATGTGTTCGTGGAGGACTTGTTCGTGGAGGATGTGTCTGAGGGGAACTGGCATGTATTCACGTTACACACGAGGAAAACCATAAAAACCAACCATGCAGCCAACCTGTTTGTTTGTGTTTGAATCCAAGCCAGGCTGAGCTACCAATATTCAGTCTTAACCACTTGACCACTAGTGGAGTGTTTCATTGGTTAAGCTGTAGTGCTCATGAAGCTTCACGATACATATTATTTACTCATTAAATTATATCTGTACTCATGCTGCATCTTTATTTTATAAACACTAGAATAAAATGCTAAAAATCAGTTTCAAACATTGAAGACGGTACAAACAGTTATTCATCACAGCCATGTTCACAATATGCCTTTTCATACTAAACTGACAATGCTCTATAACTTTGCAATTAATTTTTTATCCATATCATTCATAATTGTTTAGATAAGACTGCTAAGACCTAAATATCTCTGGCGAGATTGCTTCAAATGGTGTCTTTTGTAAGGCATGACATTCACTATATATTCACTAGATATTATACTCACAGTTGTAATTGGTTCTATTTTTCATTTAGAGATGAATCGAAATTTCCAACTCACCATGTAAATTTTTCAAGTTCTTATGTGTAGCATAATTTATAGACAAATATGCAGTAAAATTTCAGCAATCCATGGCTATATCTATGAATGCCTGTAACTCACGCTGAATTTTGGATAAACAAACAAAATCATGGTTTTCAGAAAATTTGGCATGATGAATTCAGACTTGATTTATATATATATAAATTAAACTTAATATTTTAATAAAAATGCATTAATTTATTAAAAACACAAATTCATTTTATTGTTGAAATTAATAAACATTTTATTTTCTGCAACTGCCCCAATGCTTTTTGTAGCAAACACAACAGCGAAGCTCTGCAAATTTTTTGCTTTTGATAAACTCTTACTTTTGGGTATACATGCTGGGGTCATCTACAATTCTGAATTTATATGGCTAACAGTTTTGCGTTTGTAATTTATTTGTCCATACATTTTCAGCCACTGCATTCCAAATTAAATGCACCCACTAGATGGTTTGTTTATATAAAATGCAATAAACAAGCGCATATTTACATAGGCAAACAAGTGAGTTACATTTTTTAAAAATTACACTTGTATTTTCCTAATGCTGAAAATTAGGGAGGGGAATACAGAAGTTTTCATTACTCAAAATTTTAAATTCTAACACTTGTTTTAGCATTATTCAGTTAACTGTGCTAAAAATAATGGCAGAATAAGTCTAGAGATTCAATTTAGGGAAAATCTCACTACTGGGTTAACAATGTAAACAGTTTATTTACTTAGATATTTATTTTTTTCTCATATTTAAAAGTGTTAAAACAACTTTGAAAGCAATTATACAATTTTCTTATATAACAATTCTTTGAGGCTTTTTTTACAAAGAGATTTCCTTAAAAAAAAAATCTGTCCATTTTTTTCCTCTCAACTACATTTCCCCATGTACCGGTTATTCTCTTTGTATGTTATTACATTTTAAAAATAAAATAGTTTTGTATTCAATAAATCTTGCTTAAATCATTCTTACGGCATGAAGGTATTTTAGCCAGTTATTTATGTGCAGATTTAGTACAAAAATTAGGGAACAGAAAATGGAAACAAAACTCAGTAAGGTATGATCTACAACCTGCAAAATTTCCTATATAAGAATCCTACTGTATTACATTCTATGGAAAAACACATGGTTTTGATTGCTCAAGTCTAACAGACTTGACAAAATTTCAGCATTAATATTAATAATAAAAGATTTTCAGTACATTAAAAAAATTTGCACAAGCAAATTACAGACCTGTCTCTCAGAGCAGCTACAGAAGTACCTTGAGCACTTTCAATCTATACAAATGAAGAAACAATAAATTATGCCCTTCTATAAAAAAAAATTCTTATATTTAAATTACAAACAAATATATTATTAAAAGTTTATTGCTACAAATTCAATAAGAATTTGTTCAATACGGCAGTTTAAAACAGATTTTAACATATTATTTTTAATACAAAAATTATACTTCACAGCAAATATAACTTTCAGACATGATATTTTTATTACATTAAAAATAAGCAATTTTTACTATCCTTTCTGTATGTTTTTCTTTGAGTTATCTAATGAAAGTTACTATACCAGATTTCAACTGAAATTCTGACAGTTATGAAAAAACACATGGAATAATTTGTTTCACAACAGCAATCCATGGCTATAATAATGAAAATATAATATTGCAAAATCGTAATAATTTTATAATCAGCTATATAATAGTAGCAATTTCAACTTTTCTTTTTTTAATAATAACAAATAATTTTTCATTAAAAAGATTCTCTACCACACAGCAATTGAAACATATATTGCAAGACAGGAATTTCTTTGTAGGAAAACTATTTACCTAAAAGCTTTAATTATTATTGTATTATTAGTATTACTGAAGTTAGATATACAGAAATCAAAATGTTTTAGAATACCTTTATTGAAACTAATTCAGAAGAAGCAGGCATTACAGAGTCATTTGTGCTATTGTCCATTTTAGTTTTGTTTTCTGAACTAAGCTGTTGATATTGATTTAGTTTCCATCTCAATGTATCTCTTTCTTCAAGTAACTAGACAACAAAACATTACATGAGAAAATAAAGAAAGTACTGTTCCAATATACTGAAAATAAATAAATAAAAATGAAGTATTCTTTATAAGTGGAATATATTAGGCAAAATTTGATATAAAAGTATAATTAATGCACTGTATTTCTGATATATACATACATACTACCTATATTTTTAAACAGAATACAAAATCACTAATTCAGTCTTTTGAATATGAGAAAAAGCTCAGATATTTTATTAATCTTTAATTCTAAGTTTAGCTGTAGAATATAGCAGCAGAATACTAATAATAATTATTTCATTTTCACCATGTCATGAAAAATTAAAAAATTACATAATCACAGTCAATAATCATCACATTGTATTTTTTAAAATTTATTTATAATGTACAGAAAAACTTAATTAAGCCATTAATATGCAATTTAACCATTAATATAAAATGGTAACTGACCAAGCACTTTGTTATTCAACTAAAATATGATTCTTATCACATCATGTTTTATTATTTGTTTAATTATACACTATGTAAAAAACAATTAGTTTAGAAAAGTGTTCACTTAAATCAGAAAATATCTCAGCACGGGAATTTCTTTTCTTCCCAAACTCCCATGCAGAATAGGTACCATTATCGTACTCAATAAATGGATAAATTGAAAAAAAAATTGTCTGCATTTTGTAACTTAATGATTTCCGATACCATATGAAATATCTGACAGTTTCTTTTTATCACCACATAATAGCGGTTTAAAATATTCTTTAAAAAACTGGTTTTAAATTTCTACATTCTTCTTTTTGTTTTCTTTTTATATTGCTCTTAACACATTGAGTGCAGCGCCGGTCCCTTGGGACCGGCAATGAACTTTCCGTGTGGCTGGCGTCGGTCCCTGGAGATCAGCACTGGAATTTTTTTTTTTTTGGCTGGCGTCGGTCCACAGGACTGACAGTATTAAAGTTAAAAAATAAATATAGTCTCAATGAAATGTGATCAAATTTAGTTTTAATGAAATGTACTGAAACATTCTAAACAAAAATGCGGCTTAGCTTGCTGCCAGCTGAACGGAAACGACAGCAAATTTGGCGCAGAGCTCAATGTGCTAATGTGCTTAAGACTCATGGCTTGCATACATGTATATCCTTTTATTTTCTACTGAAATCAACAAATTTATGTATTAGACAAAAATGATATGTTTGTTAGAATTGTTTACAGGTAACATAATCTAGTACAGTGGTCTCAAACTCAAATTGAATGTGGGCCGAATTCACAATCTGAAAACAGATGATGAGCCCCCCTCCCCCTTTTTTTTAACAAAATAAAAAGTATCTGGTTGTAACAAAAGTTTTATACCAAAAAACATTCTTAATAAAGTCAGGAAAAACAACAACATGAATGCAGTAATTTTAGTGCGAGTAGTAATTACTACCCAAATCTATGAATTTTTTCTTGTCAGTTTTGGTAGTTTTTCAAAGCTTTCAGCCCAGAAACTTGGTGGCTGCGAGTCCAAAAACAGATGAACCTAATTTCGGACGTCTTGTGCAGAATGGTAGAAAACACCAGCAAGATGTAGCTGCACATGTGAAAAAAGGTAGAAGTCTGAAGTTGCGATGTCAAGGCTGTATGGTGGGTGTGCCAAAAGATCCCATTCAAGTCCATACAGAGTCCAGCTGGTGAATGCAGACATGGAACATATTCAGATGTTAATATTTTAATAAAAACCAATTACTTGGATAAGACTTTTAATACTAAATCAGAAAGATTAAGCATCGGATCAAGTGTAACCATTTTCGGATTCATGATTCATGGAAGAATATTTTTTGGCTAAGCTCTTCAGTGGTATGTGTAAGTAATGTGACAATTGAACGGTAAAGTATTTCTGAGCAATTAAAATCATTATGGACATTAAAAGCAATATGAATCAAATCTGAAGTTGAAAGTAAATGATGCAGTGAGGATATTACACATTTATTTGATCATAACACAAGAGTCATTAAGTTCAAACTCATTAGGCTAGGATATAAATTAACAAACAATCTAGAATCATTCCAGGACTATGATCAAGTGTTAAAAGAGTGACTCAACAGAGAGGTTATTGAAGAATGCTAGTTTCATTTACAAGGCAATTCAAGTTATTACCTTTCATCATGTAGTTGCTAGAGGAAAAAAAAACCCTCTAAATTACATATTGTCTATGATGCATCATCTAAAAATAGAAACAAAGTATCCCTTAATCACTAACTTGATCTGGGTGTTAATCTCCTAACAGATTTGCTTAAAATAATATTAAATTTATATAGATTTAAAATTGGATTTATAGCAAGATATTAAGAAAGGTTTTCTTCTGATAGAAGTTGGTGCAAATGAGCAAGATTTTCTTAAGATTCCTGTGGTTTAAGAATAACCAAACATATTACCAAGTAAATAACCTAAAATTATTTAGATTTGCATTAGTTTTGTTTGGGGTCTTATGTAACCCATTTCTCCTTTGTGAACCAATTAGATTACATTAAAAAAATAAATGGAAAGCAAATGTGAAGCTTGCCAAATGCTGCACAATCTTTATATTGAATATTTAATTTATGGAGCAGATACTGTGCAGAAGGCTTCGTCCTTATCTTCAGATGCACAACAAATAATGGTGAAAGCCAGTATGAAGTTATGTCATGAATTCTGAAGAACTGAAAGACATAAAGGCAGAGAATAATACTGCCAACCTGCCTGTAACTTGAATGAAATATCACTAAAGAATTTGGAACTTCGTTTGATTGAAGGTTTGGGCAATGCCATTGTAGAAGGACAAAGCTATTCATCTTGGAGAATACAGAAATCACTAATTTCCACTTTACTTGGAATCAGATACATTGAGTTATGCAGCAGGATACGTTAGCACAGAGAAAGCAGAAAGTTCTGTCCTTCCACCTCAAAGTCCAATGCCTACTATATGACTTTCATTTTTTCAAACATTTATTTTAAAAAAACAGAAAAACTTCTGAAATGGATAAATGGACAATATTTTCATTACAATGCAGAGATCAAGATCATGGTTTGATAGGCCATGATCATTTTAGGATGCCATCAAAATCCCATTTAATGAACAATCTCCTTAACCAGTCTGATGACATGTATCAACGTCTACAATGAATATGTTAATAAAACAACAATGAATCTTAACATTTTATCATATCTTAAAATATACAAACATCTGTTGATTTCCTAGTTTTGATTTTTTAAAGATAATTATAAACTAAAATTACACTCATATAAAAGATATACAGAGTGTTTCAAAAAGAATATATGTATTACAATTGTTCAAACTATCGATCACTGCATCTCAGCTTGGCTATTGGCGAAACGAATATATAGTCTAGTTTATATTAATAGCCGCTAGATGTCAGTTGTCTTCTGTTTCGCATGGTAACTGTCACATGTTTAAAATTCTATTCTGAAGCAGAAATCATTTTGTGTTCTCGAGTTTGTGAAGTGCAATTCCATGATTATAATGCAAAGACGTTTCAAGTTGAGATACCAAAGTGATCCTCCGAATGGGTAGAACATTTGCAGATGGTATTGACAGTTTGTAAATACAGGATGTGTATGTAAAGCAAAGAGTCCTGGTCGCCCTTGTGTTCCCAGCAAAAACGTTGCACGAATTCAAACTACTTTCCAACGTAGTCCTTCAAAACAAACTCATCATGCTACTCGGGAGTTACTATTGCCTACAACAACAATTTGGTGTGTTTTGAGACGTCAGTTGGTTATGAAGCTGTACAAGTTACATTTGTTACAGGCTCTGCATCCTGATGACAAATGCAAACGTGTGGCAATTTGTAAGGAGATTATTGATGCTATTAACAATGATAACACTTTCGCACAACGCATCGTGTTCAATGATGAAACGACTTTTACATGTTAGTGGTCATGTAAACAAACACCATGTTTGAATTTGGTGGTTACAGAACCCACATGCAGCTATTGAACATGTATGAGATTTGCCCAAAATCAATGTGTTTTGTGCGATATCCCGATCATCTGTTTATGGCCCATTCTTCTTTGATGGAAACACAGTTAACAGTCAGCAGTAACTCACTATGTTACAAAACTGGTTGTTTCCGAGGCTGCATGAAGACAACTTCATTTTTCAACAAGACAGAGCACCCCCTCACTGGTGTCGCCAAGCGCATGGTTATCTGAATGAAACTCTACCGAACAGTTGGATTGGTCATCGCCCTCCATGGGACATTAAAGGACAACATTTATATAAATGTTGTTTCATTAAAGACAACATTTATGTATCACCACTCCCACAGAACCTGCAAGAGGTGAAGAACCAGATCCGTACTGTCATAACATCAGTGACAACGGACATGCTTGCTCGAGTATGGGAGGAATTTGAGTATCGATGTGATATTGTTCATGTAGCTGATGGAGGACATATTGAACATCTGTAATCTGAACTTGAGAGGTTCGTACATATGTGTACAAAAGTTTCATATTCGTATGTCATACAGTTTAACAAATATATGCATTCGCAATACGTATATTCTTTTTGAAACATATTATATTTTTTATTCTATTTAAAAATTTATGATAAAAAAATAACATTTGTATGGACCTGTATTGTGCCTTCATCATGTAAGAACATAATCAAAAATTAAAGATAAATTAATTTGCAGTAAACATACAATGTAAATCAAAGCTAAAGAAAAATTAATTTATATGTAAACACTGAATCTCACTTTCCCTCTCTCTAAATGCCATTTTTTATTTTCCAGTTTTAATTACACATGCTTAAATTTAAAACATCATATATATATATATAAATATATACATACCAGTGTTTCAAAATATATAAATACAAATTATTAATCACCTTGCTAACTTCATGACTTAATTCTTCACATCTCAAGCCTTGATGATGCAAACTACTCATAGCTTGCTGAAGTTCTATTTTTAAATTTCTTGCATCTTTTTGATCTGCAGAAACAATATCAGACATCTGAACAACATTATGGAGTTTATTTTGAAGTTGCAATACTTCATTATCTTTGTCACACTTTTCTTGCTGTAATATCTCAAAATTTTTCTGTATTGCATTTAATTCTTCAGATAAAGAATTAAGTTTGCTTTTCAAATCTGCATTCTCCTGACTTAGATAATCAACATTTGTTTCACTAGGTACAACTGAAACTCCGTGCCTTTCCAAATGCAAACTTTCAATAGATAGATTATTCACAGCATCACCAAGTTTCAATTTTATCTTTTCAAGTTCAGCATTTTTTTCCAGAAGCTGTTGTTGTAAATATAATTTTTCTTTTTCCAACAAATTATTGTTCCTATGATAGATATCACAATCTTTTTGAAGAGTTTCTTTTTTCAAATTTAATTCAGAACACATTTCTTTTAAAGAGAGACATTCTTTTTCTAAGTCACTTATGTATGTTTCATTTTCTGTAGACATTCTCTTCTCTGTATTATACTTAGCAAGCTCAGAGTTGAAATTTTTTTCTAGGTTTATTAAGTCCATATCGTATTTTTCTTTTGTTTCCTGCAATTTTTGTTCTAAAGAATGTTTGGCAGCTGTCAGTTTTTCTATGAGATTCTGGTACATATCATTATCAGAAAGTAACATATCTGAATGTTCTCTCAAATTCTGAGCTTCTTGACACAAACGTTTATTTTCATTTTTCAAATTATTTAACTCAAAATTAAGCTCATTTAATTTTGATTTTGCATCTTCAGCTTGCTCCATTATTTCATTTAACTTTACTTTAAGTCTTTCATTATCTTCTCTCTGAAGTTCATAAGAAACACCATATTCCTCACAGGCAGTTTTGTATTCTTGCAGTTCTTGTCTAATTTTGCAACATTCCTCATCTAACAAAGCACAACGTTTCTTCAGTTGATTGATAATATCATTAGCATCAGCAAGCTCTAATTTCTTTTGCTTTTCAACAAATTGTAAATTCATATTAAGATTTTCATTTTCATTTTTAAGTGCAATTATCTCATCAAAATATTCTTTTTCTTTCATCATTCTTTCATCATTATATACAATTAGTTCATCATACTTATCTTTTAATTCTTTCCATTCACCAGTAAGTTTATCATTTTTCTCTTTAAATAGTTTTAATCTCGTCAGCATCTTTGCACATTTTACTTTGTATGTATTAATCTCTTGCTTTAATTCTTCATTTTGTTTTTCTGCAAAAGATACTGAATGACTTTGTTGCAGTAACTTTTCAGTTAAATTTGAACTGACAGTCGGCACATCAATAATACAAGCATCTTTTGTTGGTTCAGAAGGCTGTATAATGGGATTTACATCTCTTTCACACTTTTGCGATATTCCTTTTAAAGTTTCCAGTTCTTCAGAGAGTTCTTTATTTTTTAACTCGCCTATTTCAATAAAATTTTTGAGATTTTTAATTTCCTCTAATTGTGATTTTTTTGTGTTCAAAATTTCTGAATAAAATGCAGATAATAATTCAATAATCTCTTCATCTCTAAGTCTGCGTAAAGATTCTTGTACAAAATCAGAATCACTAATACTCTCACCTTTGGAAAGGACATTTTTAATATTTTTCAAAGTACATTTCAATTGTTCAAAATTTTCTTTCCATAAAACACTTTCTGTAGCCTTTTCAAGAGATGACTGTAAATTTTCATTTTCTTTACATTTAGCTTCGTATTTCTGATTACACTCCACATACCGCTGCTCTAACTCTTGACAGTTTTTTTGGGTACTATTTAATACTAAATGACATTCCTCTAAGGAATTTGATAAATTCTCATTTGTTTCTATAAGATCATTTAATTTATGTTGCATCTGTTCCATGTTAGACTCCAAACTGGACTTTTCTGTCAGAGACTGCTGAAGCTGAGAGCTACAGTTATCTAAATGTTGTTGCAATGAATTTTTCTGTTCTTCACAAAAAGCAAGCTCATTTTTTAAGGTTTCTACTTCTACTTGTAGCCTATTGCTCACATTATGAGATGATTCTAAGACTTGTGACTGTTCAGAATATTCCTTTTGTTGCCTTCTTAAATCACTTATTTCATTTTGCAATAAAACAACTGAGGACTGTGCCCGTGAGATTTCTGTCTGTAAAGCCATTACAGTGTTATCACTGTTTTGCTTCTCTTGCATCATTTTAGTGATTGCTTCATCTTTAGCTGACAGCAAATTAGACAATCTCAGCACTTCTTTTTGGCAGTTTTCAAACATATTATGTTTCTTTTCAATATCTCTCATTAAAGAACAATAGTTCTCAGTGGCTTCCTTCAACGAAGTCTCAAGCTGCACTATTTGTTCTTTGTAACACTGTATTTCAGAAAGTTGAACTTTCATTAAATTTTCTTTTTCTACATCATAATCATTAATTAAATTTGATAGAGAATTTTTTGTAGCTTCAAGTGAAAGAATCTGCTGATGCTGATTGTTTACGACTTTATCTAATATTAAAAGTTTAGATTTTAAATTTTGTACATTTTCAAGTTTTGTTTCAAGACTCTTGATAATCAGATCAAACTTTTCATCGTTTTGTTTTATGTTTGTAGAAATAACTTGAGATGAATTCATAATATATTGCTTTAGAAATTCACTTTCCATTTCTAGCTCATGGTTTGCAATCTGTAAACGATCAAAATCCTGTTCACGAGATTCATATAATGACATCAAAGATTGGTAATTATTTTGGTACTTTGAAATTTCTTCCTGGAGCGACTTGAACTTATTTTCTACTTTTGTAATTATTCTACTTATTACACTCTTTGATTCAAGTGAAAATTCTTGAACTGGTTTAATGCTATAATTTTCAGAATCTACATAAGATGTATCTTCCTCAATCCCATACAAGCTTATTATGTTTTTTAATGCTTTACAATAATCTTGTTTTAAACTAAGCAAATTACATAATTTTGTTTCAACTGACTGTTTATAATTTTCATACATTAGGAGATTTTCAGAGTTCTTTTCTTGCTCAGCATTTAATTTTTCATTCAGATTGGCAATATGTTTTTCATGTTCATTAACCACTGCCTGCAAACAGGCATTTTCAATTTTAATCTCTTGTTTTTCTTCATCTGAAAGATTCAGCTGTTGCTCTAATTTTTCTACTGAATCACGTAAAAGATTAATTTCAACTAAACATTTTTGCAAACTAGATTCTGCTTCAGAACTTTTGCTACTAAGTGCTTCATCAGAATATTTTATTTTATCCTGAAGTGATTTTATCTCATCATCATAAATTTTACTTTTCTCCGACATATTAGCCTCAAGTGCATTAATTTTTTCATAAAGAGATTCAGTTTCAACTTGTTTTGATTTTTTATCTATTTCAACATCTGTCAAGGAAATTTGCAGCAAATTACACTGCTCAATGAGTTCTTTTTTCTCCTTTTCACAGACTGATAATTTATCACTGATGGTATTAATTTCATTTTTATACTTTGTAACTTCCTCAGATAAATTTGAAACCTGCAGCGAATGCTCTTGTTGGAGAGAAACAATGCTATTTTTTAGAGTATTACTTAATTCATTCAAGTTAAAAACTTGAGCTTCTAGATCACAAATATGAATATTCATTTCATTTTTAGTGTCTTCAGAAAGCTTAACATCATTTTCTAACTGAAGTATTTTATTTGAGAGATTTTGGGATTGTACTTGAGATGTTTCCAAAGCTGAAATAGCATCATTTAATTCCTGAGATTGCTCATTAATAGCAATTTTCAGCTCAGAAATTTTTTTCTGTAAACTGTTATTTTCTTCCACAAGAGTTTTATTTTCTCTCGTCTTTGCTTCAAGTTGGCTTTCAAAGTGAAGAGTTGATTTTTCTTCTACTTCATTAGTTGATGACAGATTTTCTAACATGCTTTTTATTTGAATTTCCTTTTGTTTCAGTAAATCTTCCATTTGATCAATTTTGTGATTCAAAGATTCACATTCTTCTGCTTTTTCATTTAGCATGCGTTCCAGCAATTTTTTCTGCTCTGCAACTTCTTTCAGCTTAGTTTCAAAGTGTGACTTTTCTTCTAAATGAGTGTTCTCCTTCACAGAAAGGGACTGCTTATATTCCATCTTTTCTTGCTCAAGAAATTTCTTTTCTTCAATAACTTCTTTTAGTTTTGCTTCAAAATGAGACTTTTCTTCTAAATACATATTCTCTTTCATTGAAAGTAACTGCTTATATTCCATCTTTTCTTGTTCAAAAATAGCATTTTGTTCTTTGAGTTCCTTTACTTGTTGATCTTTCACTAAAACCTCCTTAATTTGTTCATTTTTTGCTACGATAGATTTTTCAGCTTCTTGCAATCCATGCATAAGCTCAGATATTTTCTCATCTTTTGCTGTTATTATGCTGTTAAGAGTTTGAATATTTTGCTTTAGTGACATAATTTCGGAATAATTTTCTTTTAGGATTTCATTTAACTTTTCATTTTCATTTTGCATATCAGCTAATGATTCTTCAGCAGTAGAAATGTTGAATTTTAGATTTTCAACTAGAATGTCTTTTTCTTGCAACAATAGGTTATTTTTAGTTAGTATTTCATTTAAATTTTTTATTTCTAATTTGTTTTTATCAAATTTTTCTTGTAATGTTTTATTTGTTTTTGATGCAATGTCCATTTGATCACGCAAGGAGAAAAGTTCATTTTCTAGGTCTTTTATCTGATCAAAAAGTGATGAAACTTTTGTCTGAGAATTTGCACATTCAGCAACTAATTTGTTTCTTAATGATTCCAATTCACAAATATAATTCTGTTCAATTTCTTCGTATTCAACCAGTTTTTTTGATTGCACTTCAATAGTATCAGACAGTGCTTTTTCTTTAGCAATTCTGTCTTCAATAACTTGATGCTGTTCTTCATAAGTGTCTGCAAGTCTACGCCTTTCGCAGTCTAATTCTTGAGTAATAACTTTGATTTCATTCACTAATTTATTGTTCTCTTCGGTTACCTTTTCATAATTATACTGTAAGAGGACATATTTATTTTCTTTTTCAGCTGCAAAATCTTTGCATTCTTTCACATTTTTAGCTTGAAAATGAATCAGAAGACCTTGCAATTCATCTTGAACACTTACATTTTTCATTTTTATTTCCTCAATTTCCCTCTCTTTTTCTGCTATCTGAGATATCATAGATTGAACATTTTCTTTCAAAGTAATACAATTTGTTTCCATATCTTTTATTTTTTCTGACATGTGAGATATTTCACAAGAATGTTTGTTCTCTAATTCTTCTAATGTTTTCTGAAGTGATTCAATATGTTCTTGAAGCTCTGTTACCTTATTTTCAGACTGTACAAACTTTTCAGTCACATCTTTTAATTTTATAGTGAGGGCTTCATTTTCACTTTCAAGCTGTATATCAGGTTTGCTTCCATTTTTTAATGATTGCTGTAGCTCTTGGATTCTACACAGAAGCTCACTTCTAATCTTTTCATCATCTACAATAAATAAAAATCCATTAAAATTGAAAAGCAATGAAATTCTAAGTAAAATAAAACAATTATTTCAAATTTTTCATCACAAATATTTTTTAAAGGCAAAAAGATAATAAAAGTTCTTATGCTCTTAAGTTTTAAATTATTAAAATTTTCTTAAGCATGTTATTAAGCATTAAATTAACTGAAATGCTCAAATGCTCTTAACCCTTCCAAGACAGTGTATCTTTGTTTAAGACGTTCCCTCAGGTTGGAAGGGAGGGGCATTGAAGGGAATGTTCCCCCAGGATGGAGGTTTTGTGTATCTAAGTTTAACTTTAGGGGGGAAAAAATCATAAAAACTTTTAAGTCCTAACATCCTAAAGTTTTTGGTACCATTTTAGATTCTTACTTAAGCTATCATATATATTAAAATTAGCATTTAATAGTCATTCTTCTTTACTTTACATAAAAATATATTAAAAACATTGCTTACTTTAAAAATTTTGGGATGAGCTATTCAAATTATTCTGAAGTTTTATTTGAAAAGACATATTAATGAATTTCAAAATAAATTAAAAAAATTACAAGAAAGACTATTTACATGAAAAAGTAACAAAATCTTTCATGGGAAGTGGAAGGCAGGCACTCAGAAAGCTCAGTTTTGGTCAATATGCCCATATCAGAATCACTACAAATATCACTTTAGAAAAGAATCATCATTGTCATCCACGTCAAACTGGCTCATTTACTATGCAAATATATCCTTCTTCTGAGAAATAATGCTTTGCTTTCTTGCCATAACAAACTGGAGTCAAATTTTTCCAAAATAAAAAGGTGAAATATATTCAAAAGCAATGCAGCATAAGAGAACTACATACAGTAACTCTAAAAATTACTGTAACCTTTACGTATATAATCTTTTCTTTTGTACAACTTTATGTAGACTGTGAGTGACAACAGTAGAGGCTAAAAAAGTCATAGGATGATAATGTTTACAGAAAGAACATACAAAGTTAATAATATATTGTTTTCTTTTAAATTTAGTAGCCTAAGTTATTCTTAAACCAGAAAAATAATGTTTATGATGTAGCAACTACTACATTATTTGGTGACATGCAGTTAGTAACAGTAAATATTAAGGTAAATACAGAGAGGACAGAAAAACAGTCAAATGGCACGAATTCTTCAGAAACTATGAAGGTCAGTATAAAAATTCCAACTTTTTGGGTCAGAAATTTACCAGAAATTTGGTTTTATCAGATAGAGGCACAGTTTAAAATTAGTGGTATAAGTAATGAAGATACCAAGTTTAATTACATTGTCTCACAAATGGAACTTACATATGTAGATACTATTTGGGATATAATAACTGATATGACTAAAAACAAATATTCATTGGCAAAAGAGCATTTATTAAATATATTTAAAGAAAGTGAAAATAAACAAATCAAACGTCTTTCCATTGGCAGTGAAATTGGCGACATGAAACCTAGCCATCTGTTACAAAAAATGAAATTCTTGGCTACTAGTGATATTTCTGACATGGTATTAAAAACATTATGGATGGACAAATTGCCGCACTGTATCAAATATATATTGGCGGTTAGTGATGAAGGTATTGATTAACTGGCAAATATGGCCGATAAGACCTTTGACATGCATTCACATGCCAAATTATATGAAGCTCATTCAAATGAAGTTAAGAATTCAAGCACGTCGCTAAACACTTCACGATTACTGGGAAAAATATCTTCATTGGAAAAGCGGATTGAAGAACTCCATCTCCATCACTAATCAAATGAAAGAAGTCGTCATATAGAAAGTATAAACAGATCATTGTCTAGAGGCAGAAGTAGAAGTCGGAAGCGTTATAATCCAGATGGTAAGCTGTGTTATTACCACCTCACTTTCCTATCTATATACTTGCCTGAAAAATGTAAACTGCCATGCAACTGGAAAAACCCAGAAAAACTTGCCTGCGCAGCAGAATCAGAATTAGCGGCCGGTTCTGCTGAAGATTTAAACAATTTAATAATGACATTAAAAATGAAGACAAATCAATTTCAGACTCTGATAACGGTGAAATAAATGCTTCAAATAAGAAGGAGGAACAAAGGAAATCTACAAGAGAGAAGAAACAGCCAGTTAGGTATCCTAATCCTGAGATTTACCAAGTAATGTTTGCACAACAAGACACTCTGACATTTGAAGATATTGTAAATCTAAGTAGAACAAGAACTATGGAAAAGAGCTATGGACAAGGAAATGAAATCTATGGAAGATAACGACGTCTGGGATCTACAAAGTTTACCCCCTGATAAAAGAGCCATTTCCTGCAAATGGATTCTACGTAAAAAACGAGATGTAACTTACAAAGACAGGCTTGTTGCTCATGGCTTCATGCAAAGGGAGGGCATAGACTATACAGACACATTTTTTCCAGTAATTAGTATGTGTTCTTTACATTTAATCCTGGTAATTATCAATAATGAAGGTTTTCAAACTTTTATTTTAGATGTCAAGACAGCTTTCTTGAACGGTAAGTTAGATGAACCCATCTACATGGACCAGCCAAAAGGATATGACAATATGAGTGGTAAGAAATGTAAACTAAAAAGAGTTTATATGGTCTTAAACACTCTCCTCGACAATGGTATCAGAAATTTCTTAATTTTGTAATTAAATTAGATTTTAAGCAAATGGACTCAGAAATCTAAACTGTAAGAAAGTAATTATGGCTCTTCATGTAGATGACTAACGAATTGTTATCTATTGTTATCTAAAGAATTTCAAATGTCAAAATCTGAAAATGTCTCAGAATTTTTAAGCATTAGACTGAAGTTTGAGTCTGGTTGTTTATATTTATATCAGAAACCACACATTAAAAAATTAGTACTTGATAAATTTAAAATGCCCGATTGTAAAACAGCCCAAACTCCCATTGAACCAAAATCTACAGCAGCTGATTTTCAGAAAGGAAATGCATTTCATGGCCCATATAAAGAATTAATTGGATCTTTACTTTATTTAGCATATATCACAAGGCCAGATATTTTATTTGCAGTAAACTGCTTAAGCCAACTGCAGGAGCATCCTACTGATGTTGCCTGGTGTGCTCTAAAGAGAATTCTTAGGTACTTGAAAAACACCTTAAATTTAAAATTGATATACAAAAAGGGTGATTTGAAAAGGGCAAACTTACGTTTGTATGTAGATGCAGATTGGGGGGGGGGAAGATACTCAAGATAGGAAATCAATTACTGGTTACTTTATAATGTTTTCAAACTGTCCTATTATGTGGTGCTGTAACAGCAAAAGTATATTGCACTTTCATCAACAGAAGCTGAAATATTTACTTTATGCAAAGGTATTCAAGATATTTTATGGATAAAAAATGTAGTAAATGAAATTTCCAGTGTTAAAAATGTTTATATTTTTGAAGAGTCATGTATTAAAAGTATTGTTAATGAAAACTTTTCAGGTAGGCTGAAACATATAGATATAAAATTAAAGTTTACTCATAAGACTGTTAAAGAAAGTAATATTAAAATTGAATATGTACAATCAGGTTTACAAATTGCATATATGTTCACTAAGGCTCTGTCCAAAACAAAATTCTATGAATTGTTATCATTGAGCTGTTTAAAAATTGTGTAATTCTTTTATCTTTTCTATAATGTGCGATTAAGGGGGAGTGTTGAGATATTTGTAATCACATTCTTACTGGTTAAAAGATGTATAGCTTTCTGTCAAGTCTGGTGCATTAGCTTCCAGTCAGGTCCGAATTATTCTGAAACTTAATCCCATTCTTTATGTTATTTTTGATTGGTTATTTATTGTGTCTTGTTTATGATTTGCTAAACCATGATCTGTTGTAAAGTTATATATATGACCTATGTAAACGTTTTCGCTCTCTGCTTATCTCTGGTTGTAAATTTGCATGTAGCTTTGCTTGTATTTCTCTGCATGTAACTCTGTGTGTATCTCTGCGTATTGCTGTGTAATAAATATTTGTTTTCCGAGCCACAGCATTTGCTATGTTCAACAAAAACAAAATAACATTCATAAAATTTTCAAACTTTACCATTTTAAATTAAATTTACTTCAACATATATTCAGTAATCTTATTCATTTAAAAGATGTAACATTCAATTAACTTTTCAAACTTAAATCTTTCATATCATCATAATCATACAAGCAATTATCATATAAACAAGACAATACAAATCAATTATTAAAATTAAACATACTACTTTAGCAAACCCTGGCTAAATCTTTAAACATATTACATAACGTTAGAAAAAAAATCAAAAGCTTAGCATTTTAGTTAAAAAAAAAATGTTCACACTAAATAGTCAAAATGTCTTATAGTTCATAATGTCAGTCATGCTTCACTCACTGAAAAATATATCATTAAATCATGTCATCAATAAACTCAGCATAAGCTTTTAGTCTACATATGTTACCGTTCCATTTTGATGATACACAAACTACTGGATGAACATATTCACTTTCTGATTCAACGATTAGCTTTAGCTGTAATAGCTCATCTATTTGTCGTTCAACTTCCTTTCTTAGAATTTCAGGCATCTGATATGGTTTCTGCTTTGGTACACTTCCAGGCTTTAGTTTGATGTTATGTTCTTCAACATTGGTGATTTTCGGAATACCAGCTCTTAGGTTCTTATGCCTTCTTAAAATTTCTTTAAGTTCTTTCCTCTTATGCAGTTCAAGGTGCGTAAAATCACATTCTTCATTAGAATAGTGTTCTTTTGCTTTCTGTGGAACAATTCTTGGAATGTTTTCCACTTTGCCAAAATCAATGTCTGTATCCTATATCACACCAACATTATTCACAGCAGTCTTGAACTCTCGTATCTTGTTTGCGTGAATGCGCTTCGAGGAATTGTCAGTACAAATGCTGTGTAACTATAATTAATATGCTTTTTCATGATCATAGCAGGTCCCGTCCATCTGGCATAAACTTTGTTTTGACTATCAGGAATTAAGACTATAACCTT